TTTTTTCTAAAACTTCCAGTTTTTGTAAGGAAACATTTTTAGACCATAGTTTATGTAGCAAACTAACATTAATTTTTCATGCAGATTCACAGCCTTAAATATTCGCATATCATTAAGGAACACCCTGTATATTTGTTCATATTTCCTGTTATTCTTTGTACCGTTTAGATATAACGACTTAATTTGATTACCGATACTTATGTATTTTGACATACTATCTATGCCTACCGTAAACGCGAAAGTTTTAGAAAATGAGATATTATGTTTCTGGATGTTATATGACATGTACATCACGAAAAACCATGTCACACATTTTCGGCTTCATGCCTGTCTGTCGATCTGTCCACTAATCTTATAACCGCCTATACTTGAGAAGTACCGCTCGGATAGACAGATAGATAGATAATTTTTCATCTATTCATAAGCCGAGGCATAGAACATTGTTAAAGAGCAGTAGGTATACTTGCTAAAATGAATTATAAAATAAATATACAATTAGAAAGATTTGTATAAACTACTAAGAATTCATGTGCCTTCACAATCTTAAACAAGAACACTATATTTAATTATAACAATTTCCCATATAGTCAACGTTATCAACAAAATTATGTATACGAGTAACATTGATATAATACCCTGCAATACAAAATATTCTAAGTTAACTCTAGAGTAAGTCTATCCTTATTCTCAAAAAATCATTCAATGGGTAAAGTGCCTTAGAGATTAAATAATTAGCGATAATCTTTTTAACTTTGATTTCCGCTAAATTACGTACATTTGAATGAAAACAATTGAAACATTTTTTAACAGTATATGGAGCATCTTTCTGTATAAAACTAAAGCTACACTTATCTGGGATAAGATCTTCTTTATGCCTAGTCATGTGATTATGTTTATTTGTAGCATCGTCAAACAGATCTTTGTTTTTAAAAACAAACATAAAAGCGTCCAATATATAAAGGTAAACAACAGTTAGAATTTTTTTTTAACGGATGAAGACTTCTTTGCAACTTTCCATGTGTTTGATTTTAAAAGGGTCTTTATGCATTTTTTGAAGAATCAAAACCCTGATATCAGACCATATCTAATTCTAGGTGGAACAAACGCGTGGTATGCCGATGGGCAGCGTCGAGACCAACATTACTCCTAATCACTCTCAATGCATAGCTATACCTAGAGACACCCAATGCAACATCCTCAACGTGAGCCCCCAGTCCATTCGCCTGTCAATCCTAACACCCAGAAAAGAAATGATTTCTGTCACGTCACAGCATAGTGTTTCCCATGCTCTGACCACGCTACCACGTCTGACCAAGTTAAGTATATGGGAGAGGCGACGTTTCCAGATGCACAACCGGTAGGACAGGAAAATAATGTCTATGGACTAATTGTATGTTTGACTGACCTTTTTCTCAGTGGTTATAGTTTGTGCTGATCATAATCCTTTATGCGTTGCGTGGGAAGTGTAGAGTCAACCTAATTGACGCCATTTTTTTGAGAAAAACTGGTTTGAATATTTGAAGTAAAATCCGTATTTAACGTTGAAAATTATACGAAGTGTGTTAGAAGAGTAACTCACCATATCGTTATGTGGACCATTTTCATGTTTTGTCCTTGTTCAGTATCATCAGTAGCGTAGAAATTTACAACACCCTATATCTTTGTAATGAGACATTTAAGGACATATCTCTGTAGGGTTTTTTTTTATCTTTGGACGTACTTCTATCCTAAACATATTGCCACGTTTTTCTGAAACGCTCTGTATTTCCTCGAAACACCCATTTCACTCATTTGAGACCAATCCTATTGTCAAAGTCCGCGAGATACGCAAAGCAGTTAGAATACGGCATACAGCAATGCCTGTAATAACCCCTTGTTTGCCAGTTACAATAGATACCATCTGATTTATAACTGAAAAAATACCGTATTGCTGTCTTAATTGCTGTGTATGTGGGGATCTTTTGCTAAGCTGCTATTACTAAGTGAATAAATAACAATGTGGTACTGTGTCATTAGCGCAATGGTCGTTCTTTGAAACGGTATGTCGTTCATTCCGCTTTTTCATATTGAAGTCAGAGCCTAACAGCCAGGTACTAATTTTTTTGTATACCGAAGCATAAACACCAGGACACCGCGGCTCCTATGACGAGCTTAGTATCGGAACGGGTATCATGTCAAAAACCTACAAAACGTCAAAAACACCTATAAGATGTCAACTTGCAAACTAGATAGTTTTTAGGGCGCAAACAGTCATTCCACGTTTGCTCACTAGGATCGTTGTGAACGCCCATCTATGAAGGAATCACTCAACTAAACTACACGCATTATTGGTTGCATAGTTTTGTGAGGCTGAGTGATCCGTGTCTGTAGTTTTTATCTCTGAGAAGAAAGTTGGTTGAATAGCAAGATCGCATCTGAATGATTATGTGTATTGGTCTGCATGTGTATAACATCAGTGATATTTGCTGTGTGAGAAAACAATTACTGAATATGCTCTATATGACGGGTTATTTATATGTTGTGCTTTCTGAAGAGAGGTTATGTTCAAAGTTATAAATTACGAAAAACTGAGATGAATTAAGGGAAATCATCACTGCGCCCGCGTTGTGAATAATTACTGATAGCATGTATTTGGCTTGGACTTCGACGGTGTACAGTGAATATAATTAATTATTTCTGATCTCTTTCATTTTTGAAATTCAGCAAATTTGTGTATGTAATTTCCAGAATGTATAAGGAAAAGTGGCTGGGCAACTAATTTCTAGCTTTCAATCTCGATAAAGTGTATTTGAGACAAGAATCTAATGGAATTATGATCAGCACATACAACTTACAGCGTAGACCTCCAGTAGCGCTATCTCTGAAGCAGATTTCACATCATATCAGAGCCAAACATTGATAACCAAAGCCTCATGACGTTTAGGCAACACGTACAACTAAGTGCCAAGTTACTATCTTGTAGAAAAACCTACATAATGTCAAAAAAACAGCATAATATAAAAAAAATCGGCATAATGTCACTTTTCAAGTTCGGTGTTACCCGTGCGGGTTTTCCAATAGAGACTTGACAACCTTGAACTTTCACTGTGAACGTACCTTTAAATCAATGTCAATGTCAAAACATTCCGTAAAGAAAGCAATTCACTAGTAAAAAAATGGAGTCCACAAATTCGCTGCTGGATGTTCCCGTGTCAGTGAGACAACGGGTTGGTCGAAGTGTCGAGAATATTGCTGCCGTTCAAGCTTCCGTTGCTAACGAACAGGACTATGGCGAATTTTGCGAAGAGACCTTGTCAGATCAAGTTAACTCAAAAATTAAAGCCGTTCGATCTTATGAACCGACGTACGTTCTCGAATTGGGCTCCAGAAATATTGCAAGAAAATGACCAATTTCATTGAAAAATCATCTTCAGTGATGAGACGCATTTTTGGCTAAACGGCTTCATCAACAAACAGAATATGCATTATTGGTCAAGTGAAAATCATCACGTGCTTCAAGAAACATCACTTCATCCACAAAAAATAATACTGTATGGTGTGGTTTTAATGCCGGTGCTGTCATTGGGTCGTTTTTTTCGTTGTTGAAAATGACCGACACGTTACAGTCAACGGATATCGTTATAGACAAATGTTGCAATGTAATTTTTTTGGTCAATTTGGTCCTGTCGAATGGCCGCCTAGATCGTGTGATTTAACATCTCTAGACTTTTTTGTGGAGCTACATTATATATATTATAATCATATGAACGAGGTCGAATTCCATACATAAATGTTTTGAGTATACTTCAATCCAATAATAAAATTTTCGAGATATCTTTTACTTAAAAAAGGAAGTTGTCAAGTTGTTAATGGAAAAACCATTATAACTGGGAAGATCCTCATCAGGTACGAAACAAATTGCCTAGGTTTTCCCAGCAGCTGTCTTTATTAACGTGCCAGACCGACCATCCATATACAGGGTGTCCAAGATCAGGATCATATGTACTATATGAGGATGTCAGTACCAGTGGGAGATACAGCATAGGTTAAATTCGGATAAAGTTGCGTTCTTTGGGGCGTATTCACATGCCATTGCGGTATTTGGGATAAAATAAACATAGGCCAAATCATTTTATCTTTTTCTAACTTTATTTCAAGAAATATCAAAAAACTTTTTTGGCACTAAATAATGGTTTTTTTAAATTTTGTGCCCGACGTCGACGGTTCGTTTTTGAGAAACCATCACCTACTTTATTTTTTATGTGGTCCAAAGAAAGTACACTCTGTATCTAATTGCATGCTTTTATGCGAATTGAACGATGTATTACATGTTAAGCCACGTATACATTTGAGCACGAATATGAATGAGCACAACCCGAACGAGCTGATCCTCTATTCGGGATCAGAATTGAAATCGGTACGAGCACGAATGAACATCCTGTTCGCAACCACTCCAGTTATTCGGATCTACCCGTTTTAAAATGGCAGACATGCAACTAGTCAGTGCGAGTTTCATAGTTTTATATAATTTATTAAAGAAAAGCAAGAAGAAAAAGAGGCGCAGTTGGACATCGCCATTGTTTGTAATGAGGAGCAGAGAACCAGACGTCAATAGCAGTTTTTTATTGCAAGATTTACTGTCGGAAGAATACCAATGCCGATTTAAAAATTTTACAAGAATGTCTATGGGAGACTTCAATTTTATTTTAAACCACATAAGAGAGAGAATATCCAAAAGTGACACCAAATTTAGAAAAGCAATACCATGCGATGAAAGACTTGCAGTGACTCTTCGCTTTCTTGCTACTGGAGATTCCTATGTGAGTCTCCAGTATTTATTTAAGATTTCAAAACAAGCAATATCCCGTATAATTCCAGAGGTGTGTGAAGCCATTATACACTGTCTTGGGGATTTTGTTCAGGTATGTAAATAAATATATTTCAAAGCAAAATCTACATAATTATTTATTTATTGTTTTACTAAACCACAAAAGTACAATTCTAATATTTATCTGGAACAATTAATCGTCGTAATCGGGGCTGAAATTTTCTACAAAATTAGAAAGATTCGACGATGTACTGCCTATTGAAGACTGGGTCCTTGCAGGAGTAGACGAATGTGTGGGGATTTCTATGTCCAAATTTGTCAGGTTCTGACTTTGAATAAATGCGGGAGCTTGCGCTGTACGTTGGTATCTTGGCATGTTATACGTTTCAAATGAAGGAAAGCGTGCTATATAAGTCTGTGTAATTGGTGGTTCGAAAACTTGGGTTGAGGACATGGATGGGAAAACTTGGGTATGCTGAGAGTTCTGTGCGTGGGCTGACAACTGCATCATTTCTACTTCAAACAAATTATTATTAATCTTATGTTGTGCAATAGCTCGGTGGCGGTCATCTAGTTTTCTCAGTTTATGTGCCACATATTCACCATATGATGCACATTCATCTTTACTATCTTGAGGCCTTTCAGCAGCTTTCTTTAAATATTGATATGCAGCATTTATACGCGGATCTTCCCCGGCTTTTCGTTTTGGGGCAGATTTTTTTGGAGATACAAATACTTTCTTCTTAACTTCTGCAATTGGTGACGTGTGTCTATCCGAATGAATTTCTTCATGAGAACTGTTCAAATCAATAATCGCGTTTTCTGCACCTTCGTTACTGCTGTCGTAGTGTAAGCTATCGGTGTCGTCTTCATTATTTCCCTTAACGTCATCATCGGCCATTTGTGAATTCTACAAAAATATTTGTATATTACTCTTGCGAGCTTTATTTTATTTTTTTTATAGGTACCGTCGTCTACAGAGGAATGGAAAGAAATATCAAAACGATTTGAAGAAGTTTGGAACTTCCCATATTGTGTAGGGGCAATTGATGGAAAACATGTACTTTTGCAAGCCCCGATGAAAAGTGGAAGTGATTTTTTTAATTACAAATCGCAATTCAGCATCGTTTTGATGGCTGTGGTGGACGCGGACTACAATTTCACATTTGTGGACATAGGTTGCCAAGGGCGAATTTCTGATGGCGGTGTGTTTAAACGATGTGATCTTTATCAAAAAATTGCCAATGGAACTTTAAATTTTCCTCAAAATTCACCATTACTTGGTCGCACAAAACAGACACCGTATGTATTGATAGGAGACGCAGCTTTTCCTCTATGTGATTATTTAATAAAACCTTATTCTGGGAATCACGAAAGAGGATCTATGAAGCGAATTTTTAACTACCGTTTGAGCAGAGCTCGCCGCGTCGTTGAGAACGCGTTTGGAATAGCCTCTAGTGTATTTCGAGTTTTACGAAAACCGATGCTTTTAGAACCAGAAAAGGCACAATTGATAGTCATGACAATAGTGTGTTTGCATAATTTTCTACGTAAAAGTAGAACTTCTAGAAATGTATACACCCCTCCAGGTAGTCTAGATGAGGAAGTTAATGGACATATTGTGCCAGGAAGTTGGCGCAGTGACCTGCCATCGTCTTCATTCATGTCTCTTACAAACACACCATGTCGAGCACCGCTTTCGGCCAACGAAATTAGAGAAGAATTTTGTCAATATTTTAATTCAACGGGCGCAGTCCCTTGGCAAAATCATTACGCATTTAATCTTCGATTTAATAGCACTTGTACTCTTAATAAAACACTCTGTAAACACTTACGCTTCTGGTTTTCCTTGCTTGATCCCTGTCATGTAGAAACCTCATACTTTCGTAAGCAAACCATTTTGAAGAATAAATATCGTCTCGTCCTAAATTTTTTTTTTTCAGCAGTCAGTATATTTACATAATTAACTAAGTATATCTTATCTTACCTTTACCCGTGCCCATACTTTTTTTTTCTTTTACCTTCTCCCGTCGATATGATCCCTTCCGGCTTTCAAACTTCTTCTTTAATTCATTTATGTTGACATTACTTTCGTTAGCTATTTCCCGCCATGCATCTTCCTTTTTAATATTATTATAATATTGTGGATGGCGGGGATTCCACAATATTTCCCGTTTTTGGTAATAACTTATAATTTCTAAACACTTCTCCTGTGTCCATTCCATTTCTAACACTCTCATTTTCAAGCAAAAATGTTTCCAGCATATACTTAAATGCAATGAGTTAAATGAACGCGTATTTTTGTTCGGGTCCGAACACGTCTACCGCCTAAACACCGTCCACATCTAGTAAAGATGAATGTGCATCATATGGTGAATATGTGGCACATAAACTGAGAAAACTAGATGACCGCCACCGAGCTATTGCACAACATAAGATTAATAATAATTTGTCTGAGCGTATTCGCCGAACAAAGCGTGCACGTTCGGTTCGCTTCGGATTCCAGTCCACATCAGAATGCTCGTTCCGTTCGCATTGTGCTCATTCGGTATCGTGCTCAAATGTATACGCGGCTTTACATTCAGTAATGGGCGTTTACGCGTATACATTAATTGTCTACGTCTCGATGTATACAATGCGTGTACAATGAATACAATGATGAAGAAAATGTATACGTTAGAATAGCATAAGTGAAGTTAGGTTTGTTCGCAAACGTCAGAAAGTTGGTAAACAGTGAGCCGACAACTTAAAAAAAAATATGGCTGGACGCTCCAAGAACAAAGAAATCGATGAACTAGGGTTCATTTGTTGTTCTTAATTTATTTAAAACTGTATTTTTGTATACGTATATAAATAAACATTATATATTTTTTCATTATTCATAAACTGCTTGCACAGTCAAACCAATAATGCAATGTTGCAGAATTTGTATCTCTACTGAACTTTCAGTTCCACCTAAAATTGGAGAACCATTAGGATCTATCTGGAATTGATCTCAAACAGATTTGACAGAAATGTGTATTTGAGCGTCGAAAACAAGGAGTTGCAGCAACTTGCAGTTGTGTTCTGTGGCCTTCATCACTGTTGCGCCAGGCAACGTGGTGTGTGGCGCACTCTTTCCACACAAGTGGTACCCGCTTGTCCCTCTCTCTCTCTCTTCCTCGTACACATGGACGTATATATTCACCATTGTACTCGTATACGCGTATACAATGGTGTATACAATGCGCCCATCACTGATTACATTTATTTTCTTGGTTATGAGGAAAAATGTGTTTTTCTGATTTTTTTTTCTTTAAGTAAGTGTTGCAAACAAGGGCTTGACTTAACGTAAATACCTGTCACCAAGTAATGTTATTATTGCGTTTTGTTTATATTGCTTTATTAACTTCAAAGGTGCCAGGCGGTCATTCTAACAATGAAGAAAAGTTCGACATACTGAATTGCTATATTTTGTGCTACAAAATACTAAAAATACTGCACCTACCTTGATAAATTTCCCGACAGAAATCAGCGAAGTAGGTCCTTTTCCTTGGAATTCAAATGAATATGGTTCATTTAAAAAGCGTGTTACATCTCAAAAAGGAACCTTTAGAGGAAACTCAGAATAGTGTTTTACAAGCAGTTGTTGAGAACTCTGAGATAGGTGGATTGGAAGATCCAGTGAAGTGTCCTGGCCAGCGCGTTCCCCGGGATTAGCTACTCTGGACTTTTTTGTTTGAGGTTTTACTAAGAACCAAGCTTATCAGCATACTTTTGAAAGTGCTGCTACGAGAATGTGTAATGGGGACATTTAGTATGATCACACAAAAAATGTTAGGTGATGTTTTGAATTCTGTTAGAAGATCATATTTATGTTTAGAAAATAATGGCAACCCGTTTGAACACCTATTGTGGATAAAATAAAAATAATGCTAAATATGTATTCGTTATTCTGAACATCGCTGATTGAGCGTAATCACATCACCTTACGTTAAGCACTTGTTTGAAGCGCCTACTTAAATAAAATGAAAAATAAGAAAAGATATTTTTCTTTATAGCTAAGAAAACAAACGTAATAATAAAAAGGTTTCTAAAAATGATGTTAGAAAAAAAAAATAAAAACGATTTGACCAAATTTTAGTCTTCCTCAAATGGGCTGGAAATTATTCTAAATGGCATGTAACTATGCTCCAAACAACGCAACCTTTTTTCCAATTTAATATAGGCTGTATCTCCTACAGGTATTGATATCCTCATGCATAGGATTCTTACCTCGGATACCCTGCATATACAAGTAATTTCAAGTAAAAATGTCCATCTCGTTGGTTACTAAAAGAAAGTGCAGCCACAAATAACTATATATTTCGAAACATCCGTTCTGGGCATCATTAGGCAGAAATATCTGTTACAATTGGTGTACCACTGAAAATATGCAAACTCGCTCGGATATCGCTCTGAGATCAGCGAAGATACGCAGATAGTACCCGATTTGCGTAACGTTTCGTAACCCAGTTAAACGTATTATCATAATCACGTCAATTTGAGATGCACGATAAAAATCTATCAATTACACATCTGCCCATGTGACTCGGATTCCGATGTATTTATTAAAAAGTGAAAGCGTTTTGGATGTTTTTGTAACATCCATTTCTGTATTTCAATGGCTAGTAGTTATAGTACTGGGATTTTTGGCATGTACGTATATGTGTATGTTACAGTCATGACTCGTATACCATCAAAAACAGTTTTGGTTGACTTTTGCAGTAAAAACTGGATTTGACCGATATCTTTAGTCAAAAACAGTCCGATTTTTGCAGTCAAAAGTAGTAGTACAAAAACGGTTGGTTGGTTGCAAGTGCCTTAATAGTTTAGTGCCATAGATGCAGCAGCTTACATAAACCAGTAAGTTTAAGTTTAACAACTATGTAATGATAATTGATTTTATTGTTTTCCTTTCCCTTGACACAAAGAATATTCGTAGCGGATGAATAAAATGTTGACTTATTTGTCTTCTTGTATAACGACAGTCTTAATTATTAAAATCTGCATTGCCTTTCTCCAAAAATCATAAAGACATTTTCATTGTTTTAATAATGAAAAAATTTCAGAAATAGTTATGATTTACATTTAAAACCACTTTTGATCGATACAATTAAGTCAAAATCACTGTTGCCCAGAATTTCTAAAATGTTTTTACAGACGTTATTAGTTAAAACCGTTTTCGGCTGCAAGTGTTGACTGTATCGTATAAATAGCTAACCAGGGTCAAACTTCGAGGGTGATTTGAGAAAAAAAGTTCATGTAAATACAGGTCCGAAAATTTTTCAATATTATACTGTATAATTTTTGAATTCTCGTTTGTTCTAAAACGTCGTAATACGAGTATACATCTAAACAATTTTCTCATGGAGGTTGGGAAATCTCGAAACTGGAGATACTACAGACCAAAATATGTGAATTGACCTAAACATACCTTAGTCCAAAACTTGATAGTTTGCGAGATACAGTGTGTCAAAGTTACAATTTTATTATCTATTGTCCTTATTGCAAGAGAAGTATTTCAGATTTTGGGTTAAAACTCGGTACGGTTAGGTTTTTAGCATGAGAAATAATAATCTGTAATTTTTTCTGGCCAAACTTCTAAAGGGCGCCACTATTAGTACTATTTCTGTAAATAACTTATGATAACCTTTTTGTCCTACCCTGTATACAACAACTGACTCAAAAATCTTATCTTTTCGTATCTTGATAACAAAAAAGGTTTACTGGTTAGAAGTGCCTAAAACTAATAGTTTTCGAGATATTTGTTTTTAAAGGTTCCAATGCATTATTTGTAACATGATGATAAAACATTTCTATAACATAATAATCAAGTTGCTTTGGATAATATCTGAGTAGCGTTGCTATGGTTTCTAATGTTCTTCATAATATTGCTTTAAACTTTATAAATAATTTTAAGTTGACAATAGTCAGTTATTGTATACAGGGTAGCACAAAAAATTATGATAATTTATTTACCGAAATAGTACTGTAAGTAACTCTAGAAGTTTGGCTATAAAAAATAATGGATCCTAGTTTCTCATACTAGAAAACCTCCCTGTACCGAGTTTTATGCCAAAATCTGTAATATCTCTCAAGCAATAAGGGAAAATAAAATTGTAGCTTTGACACCCTGTATTTCGCAAACTATCAACTTTTGAACTAAGGTATGCTTAGGTCAATTCACTTATTTTACAGTTGTTTCTAAAATGTTTTTATATAGTTTGAATTTTGTAGTTTTAGTTTTCTATATTGTAATTATGTAGTCATGCGGTGCACAGTACAAACCCAATCTTTTGATTTTCGCCTACATTTTTTTCTAAATTTAAGTGTCTTTATTTAGTTTGGTACTACACTATACAGGGTGGCGCATCGAAAACAAAACACGCATTTCCTGGCAGCTCAGTTATTTTTTAAAAACGCTCAGACCAGTCGATTTTGTTTTCGAGGGGGACAAAAGTTTGGGAAAAAATCACGTTAGCACGTACAACCCCCTAAGCGGGGGCTACACCACCCCCAAAATCTTAAATGGAAAGGGGAGTCGAATGATACCTTATTTTAAAGGTCTTTCAATTCCCTTTATACTGATATAAAATTAATGTACTTCAGTTCAGTAGTTTTGAAGATTTATTGATTTAAAGCTTAAATAAAACTAATACATCATCATTAGTGGAGATCAATACATTTGGCAGCAAAGTAATTTAAAAATGAAGAATGAACTGACCGGTTAAGCAAGTAAATGTTGAAAATAGCCACCATGACTCTCCATGCAATAATAAAGATTTTGATTAAAACGTTTATTTGAGGAGTAATTTGAAGGCATTCACAATTCTTTGTCGCAGGTCTTCTAATGATGTTGGTAGCACAGATTTTTCTTTTTAAATGACCCCACATAAAGAAATCCAAAGGTGATAAATCTGGCGACCTTGGGGGCCATTCAATGGCACCTCTTCTACCAATCCATCGATCTGGAATCGTCTGATCTAAATATTGTCGAACACGTAATGCGTAATGTGGTGGGGCACCATCCTGTTGGAACATCAACATATTCGCAATGTACCGCCGATCATTCTGATTTTCAATTATGGCTGTTAATGCAGGATCTATGGCGCCTTCCAGTAATTCCAAATACATTTCACCAGTCAAATTTCCAGGTAAGAAAAAATGACCAACAAATGATCGCCAAAAATACCAGCCCAGACATTTAATTTTTGTGGCTGCTGTGTATGAACCTCATGATAAATTCTGGGATTAGAATCGGACCAATATCGGCAGTTATGACGATTTACTACACCATTCAAGAAAAAGGAACATTCGTCGGAAAAGCAAGTGTTGAATATAAAATGTTCATCGCTTATAATTCGTTCACTCATATCTTCACAAAATTGTAATCGCCGATTAAAGTCGTCTTCATTAAGTTCTTGTACCAGGTGAATTTTATACGGATGAAAACTATGGGCCTTTAGAATCCGTTGGACAGGACGTCGACTAACACCACACACAGTCTCCAATTTGCGGGTACTTAACGTAGGATCTACATAAACTTGCCCTAAACCCCCACTTCTATTGTTTCGTTCCTTATGGGACTTTCAATGTTGCGTTTTTTATTGGCGACTGACCCAGTTTCCCGAAATTTAGCTACAAGTTCTAGAACATCTTTTCTATGCACGTTATTGTTCTCATGTCGCTCGTTATATATTTCTGCTGTTCTATTAGCGCACTGATTATTTCCGAAAAATATTTCGATAATTTCAACTCTTTCTGCTGTGGAATATACCATGGGTAATTTATGTAATAAACCGTTACAAGTTATTTTAGCAACAAAGTTTGGTCAAATCAAACGCAAACTATGTACTAAATTCCTATTTAAAATAAGTACGAGATATTTCCTTATCTTTCTTCAAGAAATAACTTTTTTGCCACAAAAAAATGCTCCAATAGCTATTTTCAACAACAAAATGATAAACAAACCATGAGCGTAGTGAAGAAAAGCATTTACTTATTAATTATTAAGTAAATTCTTTTAGTCAAATTTCTTCCGATAGTAGTACAAGCTAATCTGATGTACTTATTAAAGTCTACTTTAAGCTTTAAATCAATAAATCTTCAAAACTACTGAACTGAAGTACATAAGTTATCACTCGACCCCTCTTTCCATTTAAGATTTTAGGGTTGGTGTCACCCCCGCCCAGGGGGCTGCACCTGTTAACGTGATTTTTTGCCAAACTTGTGTCCCCCTCGAGAACAAAATCGACGGGTCTGAGCGTTTTTCCAAAAAAAAAAATTGAGCTGCCAGTAAATGCGTCTGTTTCGTTTTCGATGCGCCACCCTGTATACTTTAACTGCTAGGAATTTAAATGTTTTTTTGAATAATGCTCTGAGTGGTCTGTGGATACTAAATGAGCCTATTCGAAATCTTGTGTCATCCTCGTGCTCATGGGAATTTTGTTCATTACAATGCTTATGGTATAAAGTGGTGACATGTAAGAAATAAAGTTGCCTAGTATCAAGTATCTCTGTTTCCTGATATAAGTTGTTCGATGGATATAATCTTGGCTTATGGAAAATGGCTTTTAAAACAGTTTTTTGTACTTTAGCTAGATCAGAAATATATGCCTTGCAGGTGGCACCCCAGGCTGTGCTGCCGTATATTATATGGGTTTTAACTAAGGCATGGTACAGTATCTGCTGATAACTTTCTATAAGAATGTTTGCAAGCATTTTGAGTCTATAGGCAACATTTCTGATTTTTTTCATAACATGTAATATGGTTATCCCACCATAAATATGAGTCTATACTATGCTTCAAAATTTGTGAGCATGATATATTCTCTGAGGTTCCTTTCTGAAGTTGTTCTAGTTGATCGGTTACAATAGCCAAAGTAGATACAACAGAATCCTTCTGTACTATTTTTCCAGAAATTAAGTTATATGCTTCGTATAGCCTGCGGTTCACATTTACCATTTGATTTTTGAGAATAGTCTCTTTAGTACTCTTTTGACGCTGATTTAAATATTTGGTTCCAGAATTTCATTTTCTCTTCCATTTTTCTTCTTTGTGGTCGTATTGCATATGAATACTCCTTATATTAGTTTCTCATAAAATTCACTTTGACGGAATGAATTTGTCAACAATTGTCAATTTGGTATTATATCCGCAAAATAGTGTTGGATGATGGAAGGATCTCAATTAGCCCCACAAAACTGGCCGGACTCGGAAACTATCAGCTCACAAAGCGGCAATCTTTGTTGACCGGAAAACTAATGAAATTGGCGAAATGTTCTGGAGACAGTTAAAGGTAGGAGCCTAAGAACTGTTATTATGTAATAATTCATTTTCGGATCTGAGTTGAGTAAGAGCATTTACTAAGGTATTCTTCCTGAATATAGTCAACCTAATAGTTTATTTCCGCGCCAAAAAAATATTCTAGAAGAAATGATATAACGTAGCAACTTATACGAGAATTTCTTACAGCTGTTTCGCCTCTCTATATAAATGCATCACCTTTTGTCTCAGGAAATAAGTATCTCTGGCAGCCCTGAGATCTTGAACTATAAGGAATCATTCCTTAAGGTTTGGCCAGGTACTTTACTAACATCGTGTACAACTTTTCTTTTCTGGGTAATTGCGCTTCATTCTCAATTGGAATTCCGAAACCGTGAGAAATACGGCAGTCAAGGAGTTTTTGGGAATTGCGAAATTATAAATAAAACGTTGGGACCTCAAAGAATATAGAATGAGGGATGATTTGATTGAAATAAATTCCTTTGATAACTTGTCACTGTCTATACAAGAAAATATAAGGTCCCGCATTACGATTTATTTTTATTAAATTGAATATTTTTGCTAATCGAAATGATTTGTTCAGTTACGTATTTAGTAATTCCTTTGTTACTTAGTCTGTACCTAACACACAGATAAAGTGACCAAACCACTTTGATTTAAATCTTTTTTTTTATACTCCAACTACCACGAAAGCCTAAGGCCTAAACACCCATTGGGTACTGTGGGGCTATAGGGGGATACAGGGGGATACAGGGAAAAGGGGGGACGCCACACGGACTCTGGCGAGGAAACACGTGTGCATGCCACATGCACACATTCTGGCTCCGCCTACGAGATCCGCCGGGCGGTACCTCCGCGTTCGTCAGTCAGAGACCGTCTACCACCTACGGACAGTCACAACATCCGTAGCCAAGAGAAAAAATCCTCCTGGGACGGGATTCGAACCCGCACAGCGCACGGCGGCTGATCAGGACTGAAGGGTGTACTACTGCGGCCACCGGTGCTGCCTAAATCACATCAATTTAAAAAAAGCCTACGTATTTTTCACCTACCATACGTCACTTAACAATAGGCAGAGATATTGGATTGTTTGTTGCTATGGTTATATTCAAATTTGTTTGTCAAACATACTTGTCAAATACGAGTTTCTGTCGTCTCATTTTGAACGCATATTTTCAATAGCATCACAAAAAATTCAAAATTTTGCTGGAGCTATGGAGGCAGACGATATTCCGGACGATATTTTGGAAGCCGCAAATGCCGCAACGCTGGACATTTTTTCCACAAAATCCAAAGAACGCTACGAAGAGGAGCATGGAAACTTTGAGAAGTGGTGCTACTCCAAGAACGTATCCTCAACCAAGGAAGAAGCCTTCCTGGCATATTCTGCAAACATAGCCAAAGTGTATTATGGTCACATTATTCTATGTTGAAGGCTACGATCAAAATAAGAAATGTGAATATTGTACAGTATGACAAGGTAACAGTTTTCCTTGAAAAACAAAAGACTGGGTTTCGCTCAAAAAAATCCGCGAAATCAGTCGTGGCTAATTTTTTCAATAATGTTCCAGATGATATTTATCTCATGGCAAAGGTAGTTACATTGTTTGGATTAGCGGGATGGATTGGCACGAATGGTACACGAAGACATAGAAGAGAAAGATACGTTTTTGATAGGAAAGATTTCTAACACCAACACGCACAGCATCTGAATGTTCGTGGTATTGGAAGAATCCTCAAATGGTAAATATTTAGCACTGTATCGCAAATATGTATTAACTCGTCCACGTCCACATCATCATTGACACTTGTTAGATAAGTAACTATTAAAATTCCATTTCTAATAAATGTACAAAGATAAACACGATTTTGGACACTTCTCTCTGGCTCGAACATACTCTGAAGCTTGATAATGTTCCTGTTTAGATAGCTACATAAGTGTCCCTCTATTAACTTAATTTTAAGTTACCATTTTTATCTCTCACCAATATTTTGATACACTTGTAAAAGTCAAAATGGAACGACTGCACGTACGCGAGGATGTGATGTGAGGACATTCACGTAAACTTTAAATCAGCCCATTCACCATATTTCAAACAGTTTTGCAGGTTTCCGTTATCTGTTCGAAACAAATTAAATTACATATTGGGGACTGAAAACCACTTTAATGCTTATCGCAAATATTACTTGTTATAAAATGAAAGATTTTGATGTAACTTGCCTGAAAATATCATTTTTTCTTTAAGAAACCCTCTGCTTGGTCTTTTTAGAACTTCAAACTTACATTTTGGATGGTAATACTATAGTATAGAATACTGTTTTATATGCTATTTTTTCTTATTTACACAAATTAAATAAAATAAAACATACACTGAATATTACTGTGACAATATTCATCGCAATTTTGCATTATTTTAATGATGACAATCGATTATTGCTAGGTAGTCACTTCTTTTATTGCAGATAAACATTCCTCATCACTACACCACCTTCACTATCATAATTTCTCCATACAGTGGCAATCTTGTCACGTCATGGATAGTTGTGGTCGGCTAATATAGTAAAACAAAATGTCATTTTTGCATGTCTATACTTGAAGAATTATTTAGAGTGAAGCTAATATCACAGAATATCCTTAATTTAATGTATCTAATATACAGTGCTTTTCTTTAATGTCCCTCTCGCCTTTGATTTTTTGAACGGATCAATTCAAAAAATTAAAACTTGAGGTAATGAAATTGATGCGCGGATACCATATTTTTAAGTAAAATTGACAGATATCCGCTGGGCACCATCTTGGAAAAAATTATATGAAAATGGGGGTCTTGTGGCACACCATCTTGAAGCTCCTGACGAGTACTTTATAACCCTAGAATATAAAGTCAATACCTTTACCTACTACAAAATGGTGGTACATTTAATAATTACTTGAACACAAACTCACTAACATGCATATCTCTACAAATAAGTGTAATTCCCTGCCGTATCCACAGCAACAGCGATAAAAACTTGTTTCGTTATTTTTTTTTGACAGTGACAAGAATATCACTACGAAAACGAACATCATTGTACAGTTAAAATATTCTTATTTAGATTTCGGTTTTAGTGCTAGGATACTGATTGAACTATTTTTAAAATAGTTAATTCCCGTCCATTGGAAGAAAAAATCGAAACGATTTTTATTTATGGTGCGACGCGTAACTTTCACCAGACCAGAAGGATTTTTAATGATCGTTTCCCGAGTCGTCCTATCTGTAGAAAATATGTAAGGGAACTTGTATCTAAATTTACAGCTGCTGGTAGTGTAAGCAACAAAAAGCTCCCAGGTCATACGACTATCCCGGAAGAAAACAAGTTCAAATAATTGGTGAGATCACAGCAAATCCCCAACAGTCTACTTCCTCCATTGCGAATGTATTTGAGGTCTGTCCTTCTACTGTATGGAGACTTTTGAAAAAGAACAAGTATCACCCATACAAAATTTAAATAATACATCAGCTCTGACCGAAGAACAGAATTCTGCGAGACTATGACGGAAACCATTGCATTTTAGTGATGAATTTGCATAGACAAAATTGTTGTTATTGGAGTGACACTAACCCTTACATCTTCTGGGAAACTCTTACTCAATATCCACAAAAAAATAACGTTTGGGCTGGGATATTGGGAAATCATATTGTGGGGCCTCTATTCATCGAACAAACTTTAACCGGGGAACTGTATTTGGATATGCTAATGAATTCGGTACTGATGTTGTATTCCAGCAAGATGGTGCTCCACCACACTACTACAGACAAGTTAGGAATTATTTAGATAACAATTTCCCCGGTCGATGGATTGGCCGTCGAGGTCCTGAGGAATGGCCAGCTCGCTCACCAGATTTGACACCTTTAGACTTTTTTTTATAGGACTATTTGGAGCAACAGGTGTACGAAACTATACCTGCTTCAATATTGGATATATTGCTGAGAATAACAAATTTTGGACCGTCTGCATCTGTTATTGTGTCAAGAAGTTCAAGGCAACCATTTCCAGCATCTTCTAAACTGAACTCAACGTATTTATTCGAATTATCAAGTTAAATGTCATTGTATTCAGGTAATTATTAAATGTACCACCATTTTGTAGTAGGTAAAGGTATTTACTTTATATTCAAGGGTTATAAAGTACTCGTAAGGAGCTTCAAAATGATGTGCCACAAGACCCCCGTTTTCATATATTTTTTTCCAAGATGGCGCCCAGCGGCCATCTTGACATTTTCATGTGTCAATTTTACTCTAAAACATTGAATCCACGCATCAATTTCATTGCCTCAAGTTTTAATTTTTTGGACATTAAACAAAGCACTGTATATGAGAATTTACTGAAAAACTAGCTGTTGCTAGTTACTAAATAATGAAAACATGACAAAGATAGACATTGTAGTACGAAAAAGAGGTTTTAGTATAAGAAGTGTGTGTTATTTAATGTTGATGATTTGATAAAATAGTCGTTGATCATTGTTCAACTATAATGTTGGACGACGATATTTTGTATGGACTGCGTTCTTATTAGAATCTAATTATTAGTTGTAAGTGCTTCTGATAAATAGGCAAAAATCGCTTTTCTCAAGGCGAATTTGTAATTATGATTTACTGAAGCGATTGGAGGGTTATTATCGATCGCCTCCACGTGGTGCTCCCTGGAAACCCCATATTCAGGCTAAACGGTCAATAAATAATCATAATTTTATACACATACTGTTCAAAATTACATCTAATTTTCAGTAAATATTTGGATAACTTCTTATAAAAAAAGCCATTTACATTAAAGACTTTTATTTTGCAAATATGCAATGAAGAATAATTTCTCCCAAAGGAGTACAATTTGACAACAGTGGATATCATTTGCCTTATCTGTCAAGAAATGAATGTTACAAGATGGTATTTGAGAATTGTTTCTACTTTCAAACATTTTTTATAAACGCAAAAACTTTGATCTCATTAAAAATACGCGGAAAAAATGGTTAAGGAATTGACATTGAAAAATCACAACACAACACCTCTACACAGTTTACCAAGTAAAAACCATCATTTACGGTATAGATTTTGAACTATTATTTTAGCTTATTACACGGCTAGCTTTGAACCCTTTCTTGCAAAAAACAAGTTATAGAAATATACAATGTGTTTGGTCACGACATACCGATATTTAAGAGGGGTATTTTTCAGCTGTTTTTTTCGACAAATCCATGACCCTACAATTCCTACCTCGTCCCCCTTGAAATGGCAGCCATTTTTATTTTTACGTTACGATTACGGTAGTGCATGTATGAAAATTGTAATAACTGATTACGTAATTGTCGCAGAATGATAAATTTGGTGTCATTTGAACGACGACATGCTGACTAAGCGATTATTGAAAACTTGTTTTGATACAAATCGTCAAACATACTTAAAAACAGACAAAAACAAAAATGTGGAAGAAAATTGATTATTTTGTGCATTTCCGCACACCATTCAAAAACTAGCCCGTGAAGTTGTACCTTTTTTGTGCTAATTCTACAGATTTTTGTTATCATAAGTATTCTACGTTAAGCAATAAATGCTATCTAACATGGGTCAAAATGGGTGTAATAAAATGCAAATTGTTTTCAAACTTCATATGCATAGAAATGATAAATCAATGTTTCTTATAGAGAGTTTGGACATGTTTAATATTACAGAAGTTGTTCAAAATGTCCTCCATTATTGGTTATGCACATTGTTGTTCTTAAAACATTGTATATATATATATATATATATACTTATACTCGTATATAGTTTCACATCTATTCCACTTAAAAATGGTCATTTCTACTTATTTATTTAAATCTTCCCGAAAAATTGATAAAGTTATTGTAAAAATGGATCGTTTCCAATTGTTTATAGAAAACTCTCTAATACCATCGTCCTTGGAAAGTAAAACATAAAGACGTTTTCAAAGTTTGAAAATATTAAAAAGTATGTTCCAAAAAGTGTTTTTCGTAAATAAGGCACTTTTGTATATGCATTTGAATCATCTACTTATAGGAACCATTCAAGTCATAAACCATGTTGACAGATTCTTAGAAAAACCGCAAGAAATAAACTTTTACATCTCAGTGGACTTGGATCATCGCATTATCTTATTTTTCTATGTAGTCGCTTTGGAGTAATTTGCTGGGTTATTAGCTTCGTTTTTGGACCTCTTTGCCTGCCCAACTGCTTGTTCTGAAGTATGATCTATTATAGGAACGGAAGCTTTATCATGTGTATTTGACGATGTTAGCCAGAATATCGTAGACACGATATCGATGGAAGGATATTCGAGATTTACGTGGTTTACTACTAATAAAACAGTAAAATTCAAATATGCTTAAGTGTGTTAAATTTTATATTTACATGCTCGTAAAGGGTGGTTTCTTTTTTAAATTGCTATTAAAACTACACTCGATACTTTTTTCAAAAGAGTACACCTTCCGATTATTTATGAAAAACAATTTCAGTTAAATGGCTGCCGCGGCTGGCCTGGTAGTAGTCCATCCCCTTAACCCAATTTTGAAGCATATTTTCGATAGTTTGTGGGTCTATTTCATCAATATCTCGACGGATATTTTCCTTAAGGACATCAATTGTTTGAGGATCGTTAGTGTAACAGCGGTCCTTACAGTACCCCATAAGAATTAATCCATGGGAGTCAAATCACAGTTGCGGGCTACAAATATCTATTGCATCTATTTGCAACAAATTGTTCATGATTTTGACTTATATCATCTGTTATATCAGCCTGAAATTTTCTACAATTCAAAAAGAAAACAAAGTCTCACAGTAGGAGAACGCTGACGCTGACACGGAATGGTAGAAATCTAGAGAAACGTCAGCCTTTCTGACTGATAGGAAATACTATGGAAATCGATAGGCCATAAAGACGAACGACTGACGATACGCCCCTAAGTGAATCTATCTTAATAACTTATGAGGCTTCAAAGATTGCCTGAGTCTTTAGCAAGCCTAGGGTTAATCAAGAGAAGATATGTTAGCTGCCAGAAAAGCTAATCTGGTTATTCTAGGGAGTTTGGGACAAAGCCCAAAAGCTTTCAGTAGAGCTTTACTGGCTGCACTTGAAGATTTGAGAAATGAAAAGTAAACGGCCATCAGTTTTCAGCAATGCTTTCCAAGTTCATTTTCTGACTATTCCCACGGACTTAAGCAATTCGTGAACTTTCAATAATGCATTCCGTCACATCTCCAGGGACTTAAGGGAAATGTGTGGTCTTTCTGTAAAGCTTTTCTGGTTACTCCAATAGACTTAAGAAATACCATGTGAGCTGTAAGTAGCGCTTTCCTGGCCACTTGCGAAGACTCGGATAATAATGTGTGAGCATACATAAAAGCTCTTCCGGTTACTCTAAAGGACTCATCCATTTTTTTCAAAATGTTCTATAAGATTGGAACAATTGTAGACTGTCTGATTTCAAAGAATGACCTCCTAATAAACTGTCCTTGAATTTAAGAAAATGTGAATTATGCTCCTGCACTCGTAAGAAATCCAGGAACAAATTCCTTAACAAAATTAGGTATGACAATTTGTTTAGGCGGTGTGAAGTGAAGCACATGGCCATTTGATTCTAAGTTGGAATTTCACTTTCACATTAATAACATATCTTCCGCAACTAAGAGCTTAGGATTTGTCATAACGAATTGTAAATGGCTTTCAGATGTAGATGCGATGAAAATTATCAATGATTCAATCATTTGGAATCCGTGTTATCAAAATCGCATAGAAACACTGGAATCCGTACAATGACGACTCCTCAAATACATCTCAGTCATATTCATGTCGCTAGTCAATAATGTTATTTTTGTTCGACCTTCAGCCATTACAACAGGAGGATGGACAGTGGGCTCATATTTCTATATAGTTTATTTCATAATATAGGATCGACTCACCAAACTTGCTCATAATAATCAACCTTTATATACCCAAGTTAGGTTCAAGATCAGTCAGTTTTTATCCTCCCATGCCAAAAACGAATGTCTTAGCTAAGTACTCGATAAATTTTATTTGTATGAAATTTGGCTACACGCATTATCTGTGTATTATTTTCTAAACTATGATTTATGCTAAATTCTAGTCTACTACTTTATTGTTTTTATGTATTTTTGTTATGTATTTTCAATATTGTGCAATGATTGAATTTTCATCTGTTGGGCAAAAAAGAATAGAATTGAATTCGAAAGGACATAATTAAAAATGTACAAATTTCCAGTAGGGCGGTTAGGTGATTTTATGAGTTTGAAAAATGTGTGAGCCTTCAATAAACCCTTCCAATGGTTAAACAAGTAGGTAAGCTTATCAACAAACTTTTTGTGATTGCTTTGAAGTTAAATAAAAAATGTGAATTTTCTATAGACTAAAGAAAACATACGAGTTTCTAGTAAAACCTTATGGGTTACTTCCAAAACCTCAGCGAAAATGTATGCGGCGTCAGTCTGGTTGCCCAACGGTTGGTTTCAGTAAAGCTTTTCTAGGGTTAAGACTATACTTTAGCGCATAAAAAGCGGAATACATGTTTTTTTCGGAATAAATTGAAGAAATCAGTAGAAATGATCATTTTTTTAAGAAACATAGATGTGAAACTATAAAAAATCTTTGTTTTTTGCAAAAAAAAGGTTCAGAACTAGCCGTGTAATTAGCTTAAATAACAGTTCAAAATATATACTGTAATGATGGTGTTTACTTGGTACACTGTGTAGAGGTATTGCGTTGTGATTTTTCAATGTCTTCTTGAAATTCCTTAACAATTTTTTGCGTATTTTCAAAGAAATCAAAATTTTTTCGCTTATAAGAAATGTTTGAAAGTAGAAACAATGGCCATTTTAGTTGTCATTTCTTGACAGTTAAGACAAATGCTGTCCATTGCCAAATTATACTTTTTTGGTAGAAATTTTAAACGGTACACGTGCATAAACAGCGAAAAATTCACCAGGGGTTCCGTGACATAAAAATACAAAAGACGTCAGCGGTCATTGCATATAAGAAATTTTTCCAGGGAGCACCACGTAGGCGATCTATAATTCGCTAATCACTTCAGTAAATCATCAATAATAATGATAATAGTAATAATAATTAACGTCGTTAGGAATCCGCGAGAGGAAAAAGGTGATTTTTGCTTATTATCAGAAGCATTACATCTGAAATTCAGCTCTAATTGCTTGTAATAAAAACGCAAAAAATCAATTCCGCCAACGCGACAATACCTGACGAGTATATCGTTGAATTATGGGAATACGCGGCTCGCCATTCCTTTCAGACACCTCCACTATTCTGACATTTACCCTCCCGATTCTTCAATCATTTCTAGTGCACAGTGGCCTGTGATGTTGCGACCTCTGTTATAATTGCACTTACCAAACTTCGATTCGTCGATTTGGAACACGTCGCCTGATACACCCAACATAATGTCGTCCAACATTATAGTTGAATAATGATCAACGACCATTTCATCAAAAATCTTATTCAATAAAACACACATTCTAAAATCTCTTTTTTGATTGCAATGATACTTTTTCAGTAAATTCCCTTATATATTTCATTTAATTAGGATATTTTGTGACATCAGCTTCACTCTAAATAATTCTTCAAGTAATACGTACAAAAAATAGTAAATTAATTATAACTGTAATATGGGAAAAAATAACCGAATTATTGTTGTGAAGGACATACGGCATTCTTCGAAAAAAGTGCCTTTAGCTAACGTTATCATAGGGTAGGAGGAAGATTTAGTATAGTGAAACATGCCGGCCACACCTCCAAATCGCATTGTCATGGCAATCCTCTGCCGATTGCACATTTTTGCCCTAGAAAGTAGAGAATTTGACAAATCAAATAAAATTGTAACTCGCGGGCCTAGTTGTTTTACCATGTCAGCTGACAACAACTATCCATGATTTGGCAACATTGCAACTAGATGGACAAATTATGACAGTGATGGTGGTGTAGTCATGGGAATATTTGTCAGAAATAAAATAAATGACTTCTATTTATTATTCATTGTTGCGATGAATATTGTCACCGTAATATACAGTAAATGTCATATTTATTTAATTTAGACCGTCCTTTTGTGTCAACAAGAAAAACAGCGTATAACGCAGTATTTCGTACCACTCAAAATGCAACTATAAAATAGAAAGCAGAGGCTTTCTTAAAGAAAAAATGATATTTTTGTACTAGTTACATCCTAATATTCCATTTTAAAATGAGAAATGAAATATTTGCGATGTGCGCTAAAGTACCATACAGTTTTCGACCTTCAGGGGAAAATGATATTTTCGTACTAGTTACATCCCATTACGTTTTAAAATAAGAAATGAAATATTTGCGATATGTGCTAAAGCATAGTTCACCCCTTCTGGGTACTTCCAATGGCTCAATGAAATGTGCGGCAGCATTTGTGGTCATTATAAACCACCCTGTGGTGCTCTGAAGAGGACTACAATGAGATTATATTCATCCCCAGCCCCTTTCCATCCAGCTACTGTTTCAGATGACTGTCCCTCTGTCCACCGCGAGGGCCACCCTGTACGGCTATCAGCCTGTAGCGATTCTTGTCATCGCCACCGGCCGCAGCGGCATCTCCGGTACTACCTAGCGTTCCGAGATACTACCTGCGCGTGTCCACCCTGTACGCGGCTCGCATACGGCCGCAACCGGGCCGGTCCAGCGGGTTGCGGGGACAGGGGGACATCTTGGCCGCGGCCGACTCGCAGAGGAATGCTGCAAGTGGGGGTACTGCCGCCGCAGCACCACATCTACGGCCAGTTGCCGATCACACGTTCGAAGGTGCGGACATACGGTCTGTACCCACACCCGCGTTGTTTATACCTTTTAACCCGTGATACCCCGCGAGGTACTGTCCGCGAACAGTGGTGAACATCCCGCAAGTTTTACCGGTACAACCTCCCAGCCGCAAACCTCTCTTGGATTTAAGCTCAAGCCGCACCAGCTTTGGCTCTGTGCAAGTGTTGTGATCAAGTGTCAAACAGTGGTTTAGCAGTACTGTGTATATGATGCATACTTTGGATTACTAGAAGGCACGCAGTAAAGTAACGCAATCAAAAAGAGGCAGCGAGAGCAGTGCTGATGTTACATCAATGCAGGTACGACTGACGTCGATTATCCATGTGGATATTTAAATGCAAGCTGTCACGCATAACTGACATACCATCGAATATCTCGTTCCTACCTTTCGGGATACCAAAGCGTTTTTTGCGATCAGTGTTTACTCTAACCTAAAAGTGGCGAGGAATCCTGCCAGCAGAACGACGTGCGCGGCCGCCGCGGCCATGTTTTTAGTCTGGCTAGTACCGCTTTTGTTCTGGTTATTAGCAAGTGTATGTCAAGAGGGATGCCCGCGGTCACTATACGGGAGAGGTGCTTCTTCGTCACGGATTCTGTGGAATAGATACTGATTATCTACTCGTTAGTAGTACCTGCGAGGAATTTATTATCAAAAGGGATATATGATGTGGAATGTAAACAGAAAAAACGTCCTTGTTCTGTTTCCTCAGTTGAGTTCTGACTCTAAGCTTGTTTTTGGGCTTCAATGAGCTTCACTAGTCTTTATGTCGGATGGGATACCCGTGGCTACTATTTGGGAGATGTGCTTCTCTGTCACTTATTCTGTGGATGGGAGTAACATCAGACAATGATTATCTACTCGTTAGAACCACCTTTGAGGAATTTAATATCAAAGAAAATGTAAACAGAAATAACGTCGTTATTCCGTTTCTTCACTTGGACTTTAGTGAGCCTCTGTCCAAGTACTGTTGCAATTTGATTTGACGTCTAGTGCTCTTTAGTCTATTTAGAGCTGCTTCTTCATCACGGATTCTGTGGGTGCGAATAGTACCAGATGATGATTATCTACTCGGTAGTAGCATCTCTGAGGGATTCGTCATCAAAGCGGGTATTCGATACGGTGTGCAAAGAACTAGCATCTGTATTACGTTTCTTCAGTTGAGTTCTAAGTCTAGCTCGATTTTAGTTCAAATGAGCTTTTGCCGAAGTTATGTTACAATTTGTTTTGGATATCAGTATTCTTTTTCTATATGCCTGAAGTATGTCAAGGGATGCTGCACGTCTTCTTCACGGATTCTGTAGATGCAAATAGCAGATAACGATTATGCACTCGTTAGCACCACCTCTAAGGTGTTTATTATATAGAAGAATATGTGATGAGGAATGTAAGTGGGAATAAAGCGTCGATTCCATTTTTTCCCATGATTTCCTTGATCATTTTTGACATGCAGCTTAGTTTGATCCCCATTCCACTGTCGATGAGCCACTATGATCGAGATAATATGTTTTTAGCCTTCAATGAGCTTATGTCAAAGTGATATTGCAATTTCGTTAGAAGTCCAGTGTCCCTTTTAGCTAATGCAATTGATGGTGCTTTGAGCTGAATATGATTTTACACTGTTCCTAGTATAAATATCAAGCTACCTTTCTTAAACTAGCAGTCCTGCTCAAATTAATCCCAAAAGCAATATCAACTGTTTTATTTTATTTCGTGTAGAGATCAATTATCGGTTAGAACAGTAATCTAAGTAAACACTAATTTTTGAATTCAATTTTCTTCTTAATATCTTCGGGGTCGGTTTTTCGTCCCTTATAGATTTTTCTACTTTAAGACGTGGCATAATGAGATTTTTTGGCTACTTGCTCGTTAAAGAAGTAACCTAACAAGATCCCTTCAAATTAGTCATTAAAGCATTATTATTACCATATTACCTTTAGAATCATTTTCGTTTTTGAAAAATATTTGTCAGGATATAGTTAATAACAGAATTACTATTTTGAGGAAACATCATTACCTGGTTAAAGGTATAGATCACTTCAAAAGAAGTTTTCTAATTTTTAGTTATATTAGTATTCAACTGGATATTTGCCCTAGGAGGCCTCAATATCAAAATTTTTATTATTCCATATAGCTCTTGTCATTTCTTATTGTACTTGAATAAGCACAGTTCTAGATAGAACATAGACATATCGTTTCAAAGTAAATAATCAGTTATTCAGTTGCTTGATTTGCATCCAACCCACTATTTCTTCTATATCTATATTCTTGACATCTATATTTTGGTCTATTCGAAAAGGTAGTGCTTGTCCTTGCTTTTCAAATACCTATAGGGTGGAGATAGTGAACATTGCTGACTATTTCAATGTTCGATTAGGTTAATAATTTTATCTAGTTCTCCAAGGCTTAGCATCCAGCTCTCTATTTTCTTTGAAAAATATGAGATCCGTATTTTTTCATTCAAATAGGAAATAATTATCGCATTTTCCCTAATCCTTTCTATGTTTGGAATATATATCCGTGTCAAAATCTTACCAGATTTCTTCTACTGGTGTAAATCACTTCAAAATTGTTCAACAGTAAACAACCTGCATTGAATAAACTATTTGTCCTGAAAAGCAACGCTCTTAAATCGTTAAAAATAGGTTCACGAACTCCTTGCCGTTTAGATGTAGTGTAGAGATAATGGTGGAGATATCGATGCGTAGTTAGAACAGTAACCTAGACAAATCCCCTCAAGAGTAATGATTCAGGTATATATTTGTTACTCAAGCGGATAAAAATGTAGTATAATATTCTTTGAATAAGCCCCAGATTCTTAATTTTTGTATATTCAAGGGCTTATATTTACTTTCACGCTTTTGTCCTAGCAACAAATAATTTAATCTCATAATTTAGGCATTGAAATCTAGATTCTGTTTTGTCTTAATTAGGTATATTTATTCACCTTAGATACATGTTAATCTGTATATCAGATCCAAAATTATAAATTCACGTACATTTTGAAAAAACAATCAACTGTGCATATAACGTGTTTGGCTTGATATGTCAATATTTTCTTAAATAAACAAATTATACTAATCATTGTGTTTAGATATGGAGGCTCGTTTAGAAGGGACAAATCACCTCGGAAGCAATCATTTGAAATTGGTATTTTCTAGCGCAAGACAAGGTAGTATCGCCTTTGAGACATATAACCTTCATTTTTGTGTTGACGTGCATCTCAAAGCCAAACAACATGACCATTATGAACCTCAAAAGCAACGAATTTTGCATATAATTTCATCTTTGTCAGAAAGCAAAACATAAAAACTTGCAATACAAGCTTATACAAGCCATCGTTTCCCTGTTTTATATCCCGTGCCGCATATCCCTTATACGGCAAATAAACGAAACTAAAAACGCTAGAATGTGATCAACTGTTACTCGTATCGGAAGTACGATGTAAGTAAAACCAATTTCCATTCCTCTCATGAGAAACTGAATAGCAGACATACACACATACAAACGTACATACATCTTGTAATGTGCACAAGTAACAGAACGTCATTACCAAAACGGTGGTGGTAACACAATGCCAGTTTTTCTAGAGCTAAAACAGCAGCGCTTTCCGTGAACGCCTTATGGTTGACGTGTGTATCTCTTTTACTGGAAATAGGCAGTGCATCAGTTGGACAGTTGGTGACTAAGATGTTAAACTTAAGGGATTTGCTTGAAATGAGATTTAAGTAATAAACTCTATGATATATAATTAATAACTAATAATAATCCAGCCAAAATAAAAATTATGTTTTTAAAAATTTCTACAAAGCTAAAAATTGGCTGAATGCACCATTGAGCATAATATATCAAAACTCTTCGTATACCCTTGGCGGAACCTTGTTTTACTTGGTTAGAAACGTCAAAAATATCGCGTTCTGTCATATCTCTCTAAAAGGGAAAAAGATACGACAAAACACCTTATACAATTGCAGGGAATGCAATAAATTATCCATAAAATTTGTTCTAGTACATATTTTTATTCTGGGTCACGGTTTTTTAATATAATTATGCCGCATAAGAGTACCTCAGAGTCCACAGATCACTAAATCTCATAAACTGTGACTCAAGGTGAGTAACAACTTTTCTAGATAATAATTGTATACTCTATAATTTTTGCACAAGCTATTTTAGAGAAATATTACAAAAAGTGATATTTTTGACATTTCAACACGAATAAAACAAGTATTTTCTTCGTGCAAGCATGCAATGTTTTTTGCTGTATTTACTAGGTAACAAGTTTCAAATGAGAGCCAATGATCAAAAATAATCTGTTTTACAACTTATCCGAAAAATCACCTACTGAAAAGTAATATTTTTCTCCCTAGGTGAATAATGAAAACAAAAAACAACGAAGTTCTCTACTGGACTTTGTATACCGAACTATATTGAAATGGTTGAGAAATATTCGTAAGTAATTTCAACGAACATGAGATCTGTCGCTTTTTTAAATGTGCGAGATTCGCCACCCTCGCACATCGTGCCAAAAACGCTAAAAGCTCTCCAATAACGCGAAAACCTACCCAGAACTGTTGTTGCAACCGGATGAGTGTTATGCCATCTTCGACCTCTGATGTTCATAGATCAAGAAATAGTTCGTCGACATCTAGAAGGAGCCATGTGGATTGTCTTGTGAGGAAATATAATATCAGACAGAACAGCCTTGAGATGGTAAAGTAAAACATTTGTGCATTCGAGATCCAATAAGAAACTATAAATAAAAACATGGAAGTAAAAAACCCTCAGTTGGTTTGGAGAATATCATTTGTATATTGTAATATCTCGCACATTGTATCTCTCAGCGCTAAGAGCATCAAATTACAAAACGCTCGCCCAACGATGGCTCAATTCTCAAACTAGGTATGTTATCAAAAATTGTGGGCCATTATTATCATCGTTGAAAGAAGTATTATAGAACCCCGCGATGTATTATTTGCTTCAAATGAATATGACTCCTGAACATTTTAAGTATAAAAAAATGCGACGTTTCAAAAAGTGGTCCTACACATATGTATGAGATACTTGTAAACTGTAATCATAATTTAAGGAAGAAGATAGATTTTGGAGATATTCGAAGTCCAATCAATCTTAATTTTCGTCCAATATATAGATATTGGACCGAATATTACCATTACTTTGATAAATCATCAATGCTCAGTCAGAAGACTAACCTTATCAAAACCAATATTTTTTTAACAGCTTTGTAATCTATTTCCATTCTTGTTTATTTCTGTAATATCGTACCGGCTAGAAAAGTAACCT